AAAAAAAAAAAAAAATAGGCAGCGGACGATTTAAACGTTTCTTTCCCACATAAAACATCGAATGAAAGCATTTTCCAACGACATGATAAAGCTTGTATACTATGCTATTTTAAAACTCATATCCCATTAGCAATAGCGGACAATCGCATATCAAAATTCCAACTAGAATCTAATCTTCCTATCTCCCGACCTTTTCCTTCAATCTTTTTTTTGAAAACCCCACCACTTAACCTAAAGTTAAACCCATAAAACATCAAGGCGCAACATCTTCGAACGCTGTGGCAGGATTTAGACGGGGAGGTGTAAAGGGCTGGGGCCAGGTTAAAACCGCCGACGAGACGGTGTCCAGCTGGTGATGTGCAAGCGTTTAATTGAAAGCTGAAGCAGCGCGTACAGCGGAATGTTAACCGATTCAAGAGGAACCAGCCGCTGACGGCACCGGTACTGGCATCGCGCGAATTTAATGCCCCGAGCAGATAGGGACAGATACGGCGGATCTGTCACCGCAATCCCTGCGACATCCCCCTGGTCCCTCCGCCGAAACACTCCCCCTTCCCTTCGCGTTTCCCCTCTCGTTTCACGCCTCGGCTGATTAATTGGACCTCTACGTCTGCACCACCGATCCCACCCACTCTGGTTTTCGGCAGGGGTCTCTCTCTCCCTTCGACCCTGTGCAGTTACCAACCCCCTTTCTCTCTACTTCCGCTCCCTTCCCGCGATGTCTCCTCTCTTCTCTTCTCCTGGCCGTGCCTCCATGTCAACCGAACCACCGGAGGGAGAGAAAGGGTATGAAGGGAGGAAGGGATGGGGGAAGAAGACAGAGAACGAAGGGTGTACGAAGCGGGGAGGGTGGACAGAGAACAGGCATAGAATTCGAAGTCACCTCTATTCGGAAACGCGTAATAGATATGTCAAAAGCAGGCTGAACATGGTCATGATAATATGCTGATGCCTTCGCCCCGCCATCGGCGACTTCCCCTTCGGCTCGTTTACCCTCCTCCACCGTCTCCTATCTTGCCTATCTGCTGATATTTCGTTCA